AATGATGTTGTACTTATGTGCATGATATTGTATGGAATTATGAGCTAGTGGGTTCGTCTATGTGCGTAGTCAAACGTTAGATAGATTCCACTCAACTTCAATGCTGAGCGTGTAGCCCTTTTTCCTATTTGCTACACGTAGGTAACAGGAACGATGAATAATGAGACGGTCTTGGAGGCAGCGAGGGCGAAGAGATGGATGGATGCTAGCTGGAGGAGTTATCTGGTTTAATATTTAAGTTTGAATTATTATCTTCTTAAGGGCAAGAACCCAGAGTTGTATTTTGATTAAGTACTTAAAGGCTTCCGCACCGTTTTGTTAACTCTGATGGATATTTAAATATTGTTTTAAATTAAATATTTTTAAATTGTTTTGAAAATTATTGCGTTTGAATGCCAATGTAGTAGCAACCCGATCCGCTGGTCCTTGTATTCGGGTCACGCGGGTTGGGGTGTTACAACATCACATGGCATCTCCATCTCCAAATCTCACACAGACCATATGCGGGCCTACTCAGATGTCGATTGGGCTGGCTGCCCTGACACCCGCCGGTCTACATCCGGCTACTGCATATTCCTTGGTAATAATCTCATTTCCTGGTCTTCTAAGCGCCAGCTCACCACATCCAGATCCAGTGCCGAAGCAGAATATTGTGCCGTAGCAAATGCCGTAGCCGAAGTCAGCTGGATACGCAATCTTCTACTCGAGCTCCAACAACCACTTAGCCGCTCCACTCTGGTCTTTTGTGATAATGTGAGCGCCGTCTATCTCTCGGCAAATCCTGTCAAGCACCAGCACACGAAGCACATCGAGGTTGACATACACTTTGTTAGAGACCGAGTAGCTCTCGGACAGGTTCGAGTGCTCAATGTCCCTTCGTCATTCCAGTATGCTGATATCTTCACAAAGGGTCTCCCATCCATCATCTTTTCATAATTTCAGGACTGCTTGGGCGTGCGGCGTTCTACACCAGTGCCGTTGGGAGCATGTTAAATATATTAAGTATATATTTAGTATCTTTGCATATATTGTAGTTTCCATACATGTATAGTCCTTATTGATTAAGGATTCCTAACATAGTAGGTTTTCTAACATAACTAGGACTACTCTACTGTATATTCTCCCTTGTATCTACACATTATTATTATTGGAATATATATCAATTCTTCAGTTACTTGTGCAGGCCGGACCAAAGTAAGGACTCAAGCTAATCGGACCAACTTAAGCTAGTCTACTATCATTGTTTCATACCCAAAACAAAAGGCACAACAAAAGTAAGGGGCGTATTGTATAGGGATTTATATTCATAGTTTTAAACTCCGAGATTTTTATACACTCTTTGTCCACCTAAAATTTTCTCATTGTTCGTTATGATTTACGAAGTTTGACAATTTTATTTTCAATTCAATTCATTTAAATATAGGGATAGATTTTTAATATAAAATCTATGTAGTAATAAACTGCATGGAAAGTTCTACACAACTAGAGGTGACAATACTATATTATTTTATAAAATTAGTAATAAAAATAAACAAATAAAGTGAATTAAGTTTGACCATGTAATAGTGTCTGGGAAAATAAATGGTGGACAGAGTGAGTATATGTGTAAAAAGTCTATGATTGTGAATGGCTTCTTTAATACTCCCTCCGTCCCCAATTTGATTGCAAATTGCGGGTTACGGAGTAAAAATTTTCTACGTTTTGAAATCATTTTATTTACAAATTGGTATATTAATAAGATATAAAAATTACATTTTAAAAAACTACGTCAAAAATTCTACAAAACAAGAGGTGAAAAGAACATTTTATTTTATCAATTACTTAATAAATCGCGTAAACAAACAAAAGTTATCGAGAGGAGAGAGAAAAAAAGATTATAATCAAGAGTCAGTATATAAAGAAAGGATGAAACCAATTGTATTGCGCTCTGACTATCTAAGTAATAGACCTTCTCGCTCTGCTTCTTTCCGAATTCCTCCAAATAGTTTGAGAGCCATATCATCTCTTTCCCAACTTCAGCTTCAACTAGGGGTGAGTATGGTACGGTATTTAGCTCGTACCGATACCGCACCAAATATTTCGGTTCGGTATGTGATTTTACTCTGTAACGATCCCGATCCCAAAGTATCGGTTCGGTATGGTTCGGGATGGTTCGGTATCGGTTTCGGTACAAATCGGGATAAATATATATACCTAGTTTACACGTTAAAATTTAACAATACCCTTTTTTTTGAAAATTAAAAGTAAATTTAAATAAAAAATATGAAAAATTAAAAAAAGGAGTATTTAAATTTAAGAGATCCGTATCAAAATTTAGTTTATATTTCACAAACTAAAAAATGAATGACAACAAAGAAGTATTTCGAATCTTTGTGAATACTTTTATGTTCATACATAAAAATTAAAACTCAAATAAAAGTATAATTTACACATCATAGGATTTAAACCAAATTTTTTTAAAAAATTATTATTTAGTGAAGAAATATATACAAATATTACTCCGAGATATTATTTTTTATAGTATTTTAGTATATATGTTCGGTACGGGATTTTCGGTATGGGAGGTCACCTCGTACCGTTCCCGAATACCATACCGATCATTCGGTTCGGTATGGTTCGGTTTCTTCTAGGTATTTTTTCGGTTCGGTATTCTCGATTTTTTCGGGAAATTTCGGTTTCGGTTCGATACTTGCTCACCCCTAGCTTCAACTTCAATAGATGAAAGAGAAACACACGTCTGAAGCATGGACATCCAACTCATTGTTGTCCCACCTATGACGTAAGTACATCCGAGACTTGCCTCATATTAATTACAAATAAGATACTAATCTATGAATTAACACTCACGTTAGGTGTATGGATCATGATTCACCTCGATTATGGAAGAATTAAAAACAAGAATCAGAATCGGAGAGAACTTATCGCTATCTCTGCTCCAATTCATCGCTACAATACCCATGCGCAATGAGGGAAATCAGACGGGGATGGAGGACGACGGTGAAGAAGGTAGCGAAGACAAAACCGACGGATGATTGCTAGGGACGAGGGGCGGAAACGAAGAAGAGCTTCCCTCTCTCTGGTTTGTGCTTTGGTGTAGAAGGCACATAAGCAGAAATGTACGTGAAAGCTACGGGGAAAGGTCATTAAATAGAGTTGAGGTCCAATTATCTGATTCGTGATTCCTAAGTGGTAACTCAGACCCACTAACTATGCTTCACAATCCGTTCAGGGAGTCGAGTTGAGAAGAGCAATCTCTAGAACATAAAATAAATACTCTCTCCGTCTCCCGAAATAGATTACAATCTTTTTTTCTCTCTCCTCTCGATAACTTTTGTTTGTTTACGCGATTTATTAAGTAATTGATAAAATAAAATGTTCTTTTCACCTCTTGTTTTGTAGAATTTTTGACGTAGTTTTTTAAAATGTAATTTTTATATCTTATTAATATACCAATTTGTAAATAAAATGATTTCAAAACGTAGAAAATTTTTACTCCGTAACCCGCAATTTGCAATCAAATTGGGGACGGAGGGAGTATTAAAGAAGCCATTCACAATCATAGACTTTTTACACATATACTCACTCTGTCCACCATTTATTTTCCCAGACACTATTACATGGTCAAACTTAATTCACTTTATTTGTTTATTTTTATTACTAATTTTATAAAATAATATAGTATTGTCACCTCTAGTTGTGTAGAACTTTCCATGCAGTTTATTACTACATAGATTTTATATTAAAAATCTATCCCTATATTTAAATGAATTGAATTGAAAATAAAATTGTCAAACTTCGTAAATCATAACGAACAATGAGAAAATTTTAGGTGGACAAAGAGTGTATAAAAATCTCGGAGTTTAAAACTATGAATATAAATCCCTATACAATACGCCCCTTACTTTTGTTGTGCCTTTTGTTTTGGGTATGAAACAATGATAGTAGACTAGCTTAAGTTGGTCCGATTAGCTTGAGTCCTTACTTTGGTCCGGCCTGCACAAGTAACTGAAGAATTGATATATATTCCAATAATAATAATGTGTAGATACAAGGGAGAATATACAGTAGAGTAGTCCTAGTTATGTTAGAAAACCTACTATGTTAGGAATCCTTAATCAATAAGGACTATACATGTATGGAAACTACAATATATGCAAAGATACTAAATATATACTTAATATATTTAACATGCTCCCAACGGCACTGGTGTAGAACGCCGCACGCCCAAGCAGTCCTGAAATTATGAAAAGATGATGGATGGGAGACCCTTTGTGAAGATATCAGCATACTGGAATGACGAAGGGACATTGAGCACTCGAACCTGTCCGAGAGCTACTCGGTCTCTAACAAAGTGTATGTCAACCTCGATGTGCTTCGTGTGCTGGTGCTTGACAGGATTTGCCGAGAGATAGACGGCGCTCACATTATCACAAAAGACCAGAGTGGAGCGGCTAAGTGGTTGTTGGAGCTCGAGTAGAAGATTGCGTATCCAGCTGACTTCGGCTACGGCATTTGCTACGGCACGATATTCTGCTTCGGCACTGGATCTGGATGTGGTGAGCTGGCGCTTAGAAGACCAGGAAATGAGATTATTACCAAGGAATATGCAGTAGCCGGATGTAGACCGGCGGGTGTCAGGGCAGCCAGCCCAATCGACATCTGAGTAGGCCCGCATATGGTCTGTGTGAGATTTGGAGATGGAGATGCCATGTGATGTTGTAACACCCCAACCCGCGTGACCCGAATACAAGGACCAGCGGATCGGGTTGCTACTACATTGGCATTCAAACGCAATAATTTTCAAAACAATTTAAAAATATTTAATTTAAAACAATATTTAAATATCCATCAGAGTTAACAAAACGGTGCGGAAGCCTTTAAGTACTTAATCAAAATACAACTCTGGGTTCTTGCCCTTAAGAAGATAATAATTCAAACTTAAATATTAAACCAGATAACTCCTCCAGCTAGCATCCATCCATCTCTTCGCCCTCGCTGCCTCCAAGACCGTCTCATTATTCATCGTTCCTGTTACCTACGTGTAGCAAATAGGAAAAAGGGCTACACGCTCAGCATTGAAGTTGAGTGGAATCTATCTAACGTTTGACTACGCACATAGACGAACCCACTAGCTCATAATTCCATACAATATCATGCACATAAGTACAACATCATTAATATCATATAATTCATCAATTAAGCATAATTACCATAATTAACAAACTTACCTCATAATCCACTTCTTTATCTCTAGGCTCATAACCTATCCTAGGCTAAGGCCAACTACTTTATTCTAGAGTCCTGATCCAACCACATCCATGGAAGAACCCGCTCGATACGACGTCATCAAACGTCGGCTGGGTGGGACCACCTACTCACATCCATGAGCAGATCTACGACCCCCGTGCGCACGCTCTACCCAACTGATCATGCGTGCACGCCGGCTCATCACATGACCAGTTATTCCTAACTGTATTCCTTATTCTGTTTCCTCAGTCTACCTATAGTTCAGCTAGGTAGCCTGTCCGTATTCAAATTCATAATTCCATATTTCCAAATTCATACAAGAGTACAATATGCTAAATAACATTCATAGTCAACAATTAGCGGCCTAGTGTCGGGTGTAAACACCTTCCACTTACCGTCATGCAGCATACAATTAACAATAATACATTCTATACACTTTGGACACGTTTCCTAATCTTTGATAAACTTATTAGTGGGATTATAAATTTGTTTGAACAGAGAGTGTGTGCGCGTGCGGACAGAACAGAGCAAAGCAAGGGAAAGAAATACAGAGCCTAATCTTCCAAACTCAATCCCCAATTCCAATTTGATTATATCACAAGAGTCAACAACCATACTCACAATTTCATCTTCGATTAAGGAATAACATATCAATGAATATTAATCTCCAAATTAAATTCTAACGAGAGATAAACCACGTAATCAATCATACGAAACTACGAACGTGAATTTCAAATCTATATACATAATCTAGCGTTAGATGTGCAAGTTCTGACCTCAATTAATTGGCGGATTAAAACAATTCAAAACTCAACAGTGAGGAAGATGGTGATCGGCAATAGAGAAGCAGCGGCGTCCAGATTCTAGGCAATTCGGACGGCGACCTGAGCGATGGCAGCGGCTGACCTCTCCCGGTCGAGCATCGTCTTTGTTGAGCTCTGTTCCGATCGCAGGGTACTAACT